TAAGTTCTCCCCAAACAAGCTTGATGGGCCGAATGGCCTCCTCTCGTTTGTAAATTTCTTATGTTCTTATGTTCTTAAAAAAATCATCCAGTCTTTAGCAGGTCTAAAATTAGGTAAATACCTCAGATGAACAAGTACATGTGACATATTACACTGTGTCATTATTATTTAAGAAAAACTAAGCCAAAATAAAGAAGCACTGTGTGAAAAATTAAGTACACCCCAGTTGCTCCCATAGGAATTAAGAGGGTAAGTAACAACCAGGTGCTGCTAAACAGATACATTCGATTAACTGATCGTGATGAAGTTTGACCAGCTCTTTAAAACAGAAATTTTGGCAGTTTGCTGGTCTGGAGCATTCAGGTGTGTGTTACCACAACGCCAAGGAGGAAAAACATCAGCATTTATCTTAGAGAAGCAATTGTTATGAAAGGGTGTACTTTCTTTTTCGCGTGACTGTATTTGCCGAGAGTGGGGAACAATAAGTAGGAGGAAAAGAACACTTACGAATATCAGTATGTTGAGCAAACACATTGATGACTGGGCTGCTTCCTGGAAGGACGATGTTTGTATTACCCCTGCAGAAATACACAATGCATTATTTTAAAAATAATATCATTGGGCTCAAAAATATGGAGGACAAAATGTAACGTAAACATAAATAAATCAATCAATAGAAAAATATATTTAATTTTCTATTCCTCAGATTTATAGAAAAATAAATGTAACTTTCTATTCCAAAGATTTTTTTAATTTATCTGTATGTAAATGAGTTAGACAGCCCTAACCCTTTTCTAAAGCACTATTGGACAGGGGGACTTTGCTGATCTGCACTCCATTACCTTGGCCTTGCTTGGATGAGAAGAAATGCTAGATGGTTTTCATGTTAGTAATGCTAAGTTCACACTTCAGATCACTATACCCTTCATATGTATGGGGTTCCATTAAATCTTTGGAATAAAAAAATGAAATACATTTATTTTTCTATATGTCTTTGGAATATAAAATTAAATATATGTTTCTATACATTTTTGTAATGAAAAATTGAATCTATTTATTTTACTATTTGATATTTATTTATGATATTTGATATTTGATATTTATTTATGATTATGTCATGTTTCGGTCTCCATACAACACTGTTGCCTATGGCAGATTGAACACACTCATAAATGAACATACAAAATAGTGGTTTTATTTATCCGCATGAGGCAGTTTGGGGTCTCCCACACCCTATATTTCCCTACATCAGAGACAGGAATGTTTATGTAGCTGAGAGCCAATTTATGAGGCAAGCATCTGGAAAGTTTGGATTCTTCATCACTAGCACCTCTTTTCAGGTGAATTTGTGTTTACTCCGAGGCCACACCCTCTGCATTTGTCTTGTTAATTGTTAAGTAATAATTGTTAATTATTACTGCACTCAGCTGTGAGCACTTACTGAGGCACATTATCAATACATCGGCCGGAGCTGGACTGGGGCTTATATCAAAAGGGTAAAATGATTACATCAGTGTGTGCATGTTGCTGTGAGAGGGGTACCGTTTTGGAATTGAAGACAAAAATGAAGGACTGTGTGCGATGCGATGAACGCAAGACTTTTTTGTATTTACTGCAAATGCTTACATTATTTTTAACTTTGCTATTGTTCCTGGGTTTAACCCAACACAGTTCATTGATTATTTCTGAGTCACAATCGGAGATGCATTCATGGAAAAAACTGTGAGTTATGCGTGTTAATACGTGGGGATGCACATAACACGTATGTTCACCTTTAAAGCAATATGTACAGCAATCGATTATTGTAACAGTGCAAATGTGTACCAATATCATGTGCATTTGCACTGCTATGACGAAATTACCATGCACTTTAACCTTTATACCGCAAATGAAGTACAAATTAGCATATAAAGGTTAAAATGCATAGTAATTTCTTGTCAATTCAGTGCAAATGCACATAAAATAAGTAGGAGACTCAGAAGGAACTACTGCGCAATATGCATTAATGGACTATTTTGATAGGGGGAGTGAAGAAAAGAAAAGAACAAAACATTTTGGTAATCTTTTATTTTACAAATACACAAATAATCAAGAAATATATAAATCTTTCATATGGAATAAATGAATATAAAAAAGTGATGCTCCAGTCCAACTGCACTCTTTACCTGTGGTAAAACAAGCACATGAAAGACACAATAGGTAAATTTCACTTAAATTACTGATATTTCAAGCAAATATGAGTCTTATTTTCATTGCTGTAACAAAGCAATGAAGTGATATAAAGTCAGTGATACAAAGTTATGTATCACTGACTCATACACCGAAGTCAAATTCTAATGGTAACTTATTAGGTGGTTAAGTTGCCCTTACAACGATTTAAAGCCTAGCCCTAGTCGCAAAACATGTCCAACACAACCGAGTGTTTAATCATATGCTGTTTTGTTTGAGAGATCATTGGAATGCATCTTACATGCACTAAACGTAATTAAAGTTCATAGTCACATTACAAGTAAACACAACAATAACAACTCCAAAGCGGTCATGGAGATGACTGCTCCAGTCACCTGGTTTGCATCGCTTTTATTTACCTCTTTTTTCAACTTCTTGTATGTTTTTTCCATTTTCTTCCATCTTCTTCATGATTTGCTCCAGTTATTTTGATAATCCCTGTCATCTCCAGTTCACTCAATTCACACATTTCTTCCTAAGCTTTCGCGACACTAACTCCCAACTTCGGCCCAGCAGTCTTTCAGGGCCAGAAAAATGAGCTCCGGCCTGGATATATCGGCCAGAGCTCACTGCTGTTATTTTTAAATTCCAGGCCGGAATTTAGGCTGAGTATGGGCACCAGCCCTGGTGTGAAACGGCCAATAGAGACCTGGATCTGCCCATAGAACACTGCCACTCCAGCTGCACTATTTTCCAACTTCTCCTACAGTAATCTCACACTCCTTGTCTCACTGGCCAGGGAGGGGGGATAGGTTTGCTAATTTCCAATACCTGGAATACCATACTCTTACTATCATCAACCCTGCCAAACTACACATTGTCGTTATCACTCACCAGACTCACCAGGCCCAATAGGAATCTTCATTACCATCCTCAACCCCTCCTCCCCCTCCATCCACAACCAGATTTACCCTATATAACATCAGGAGGATTAGGCCTTTTCTGTATGAATATGCAGCTCAGTTTCTAGTCCAGTCACATGTTACCTTGCAAATAAAATGCATGATGCCTGTGCAGATCAAGCAAAATCAGTATCATGCCAAGTACCAGACAGCATTCAACTTTTAAAAGGGGGCATTTATTAATCTCTTTTGTGAGAATATGTATGTTGTGTATGTATTTGAGTAAAAAAAAAACAAAAAAAACAGGGAATGGATATTTTACTTCATAATACTGACTGATAAGAAACTGAAAATATGAATATGTTGGATATTGAAGGGCCACCAGGAACAATATCACTGCATAAATAAGCATAAGAAAGTATTATACATACATACACACATACAAACAAACATACACACACACACCTTTGCATTAAAACTACATGACTAGATGATGAATAAATCTGAACACGATAAGATGGAGTTGCTGGACTGTTAGCATATAAAAAGCAACATGAGCCTCACCTGCCTAGGATCTTGGACTCGTTTGTGGACAGTTGGGCTTGGTACCTCCCCATGCTGTGGTAGACCAGAGCACTGCATGGCAGAGAGGCGGGTCGGCGGCAGAACCAGACCTCCCCGCTGCGAGGGTCACGGTGTTCACAGCAGCAGTGGCTTCCATCCCCCACCAGCCGTGGGCTCTTCATGGCATTGCACACCACATTCTCCTTTATATCCCCATCCTCAAAGTATCCAGTGAAGAAGACCTTGTCCGGATCCCGCTCTCTATGCCGGCTCAATACCTGAACAGCTTCGCTGGAGTGAATCAGCCGGATAGAAAAGTGGGCAGGGCCGGGCCAAAGGAGTGCAAAACTGACTGAGTAGGTCCCATTGTCATGGTCTACCACAAGACCAAATGTACTAGCTTTGAGCTCTGTGTTGTATAACTTGGCTTGGAAGAAGTCCCCTCCATATATTTTAGGAACTCCTCTGCCATTTCTTGCGACCACTGATACATTTACAAAGTCCCCTACAGTGTAGTTATCCTTCCAATTAAGCACAGTGAAGGTGCATTTGCGTGGGTCTGTGGCTTCAGTGGGGGTGGGGTTTTCTATGGTGGGTGAAGGCCACTTGAGCATCTCTAACAGGAATTCCCATTCTTCAGTGCTGATTCTAGGAGTGTCGGCCAAAGTTGCATGAGGCAGCTGTGTGGGTTTTTGGGAGTTCTTAGTAAACTGTGCCTGAGAATTATTGTGGGACATTGGCTTTGGCATTGTCCACTTCGTTGGGGTTCCGTTCCTCATTTGAAGGTACAGGTATATCTAGAAAACACATTAGTAGGGATGAATGCAGATGTCACTCTCACCTTTTGAGTGTACAGAAAAAAAAATAGGCCTCACGTCTTAAAGGCAATCATAATTAATTAAATTAATAAAGATAATAATCATTTAAAATATTAATATAAATTCTATTTGTTATGTCCCCTGTGTATCCCTGGTTCTGCAGGAGAAATCATTTTATTGATTGATGGTTGCCTTTGAAATTATAGTGGACATTTCCATGGCCCATGACACAACCCAGAAGTGCCAAATAGTAATGAACTCTGTTGCTTTACACAAAGCCAAGTCCACATTAAGAACTAACTCTATTTAATAGGGTGCTAAATCTATTGCTGTGCTCCTCAGAGGCATCCCACACCACATTATCTGGACCTCAAAAGCACAGAAAATTTCCAAAATCTTAAGGTTTCCAGCCACTCTAAAGAGACTCTGTTATAGAATTTTTTACATTTTCCTACATTAAAAGATATTTGCGTATTGTGTGATTGCTTTGAATTCCTATGAACTGAAATTAATTCAAAACTTTTCCTGTCATTCCAGTTCTACATCATGCTATGTATGGCTAATTCAATTCAAATTCCAATTCATGAATGGAATGGGGCACAATTCATAAATTCTGAGCAGCTCTGGTACATAATGAGCTAACCAATCAAACTTGCCATGTATTCAATGACACTCTTTAAAGACGGTTAATCACCCCTTACTACTGGCAGCAACGACGGCAGCTATTTAGAGAACTGTGCAATTGAACCTTGAATGTTGAACGTGTAAGACATGCTTTTCCTTGTGCCTCTTATCACAGACAATCAGGAAGTTGTTATGGTCTTGTCGCATTTTACTGTTTTAACACATGCTGTTGTTTTACCACTTTTAGCTGAGAAGAACTAAATTTACATACTTTAGAACTGATAAAGCAAGGTTTTCTAAACCAGTGAGCCACGGGCGTGGCCGCAGACGGTGCAGCCGGAGACACAGGCAGGACGGGCGGGACGGGCTGGACAGGCGAGCCGGGCTGGACGGGCGGGACAGGCAGGGCCGCAGGCAGAGCGGCGGCAGCAGGCAGGGCCGCGGGCAGAGCGGCCGCCTCGGCGGGCACCTCGGGCGTGCGGCCAGCAGGGGGCGCCTCGGGCAGTGCGGCGGCAGCAGCAGCAGGTGGTGCAGCAGGCAGGTCCGGAGCAGGCAGATCCGGAGCAGGCAGATCCGGGACTGCCCCTTTAAGGGCTTTAGGGACCCGGGGAATGGCGTCCCAGACGGCCCTAGCCCCCCTATTGAATAGGCGCGATGACTGGTAGTGGTTCGCCTCCAAGGGAGGCGGCTGCTCGTCCGCGGGGCTGGCAGCGGGAGCGACCTCCCGGCTTATCGGGAAGTCCCCGTGCCCGCCAGCAGGGAGGAAAGCGGGGCGCAATGAGCAAGCCCCCAAGAAGATTGTTGGGGCGGCTTCTTCCCCTTTTACCCCTGTGCTTCTTCTTCTTCCTGCGGCTGGGGCAGGTCGGTGGAGGCGGGGTTACCTCCGAGAAGGTGAGCGGTTGCAGTTGCCTCTCCACGAATCCCTCGACCAGCTGCCGGAGATTTTCGCGCACGTGAGCGGAGTCATCTCCTGAAGGAGGCGGCCGCTCTTGCTGGCTATAGCTGCCATAGCCCAAGGTCCTCACGGACCTCGGGTTGAGACAACCAATACAGCACCTCATCCAGCAGCTTGAGGCGGCTGTCCTCAAGCTGCGGAGGTGCGCTCGAGAGATCTGTCATTCTGTTATGATGCGTGGAGCAGGAAAGTAGGCGAGCAGAGCTGCTGACGCGGGTAATCGGGGTTTAATAGGCACACAAGGGCAGATTTTCACGAACATTACTACAATGACAGATCTGGGGGATAACGATTGAGACACGGACTAAATACACAAGACTAGGCAAAAGGAACAGGCAACAGGTGAGTACAATCAGGGATTAACACAAGGTAACGAGGTGGGCGTGGCACACACGAGGATCGGACGGAGCTGGGCGTGACAATATATACGTATATATATATATATATAAACGGGGCACAAAGTTGAGATTATATCATATATAATATAATATGCAAAGTCTTCCAGCCAAGATCTGAGTCTGAGTGAAAGCTTGTAGAGAGTTTGCCGTCTGCATGGACACAGTGTACCAGAAGCATGCTGCTGCAACTGAACTGTGCAGGGGTAGAGCACGCGTTAGACATAACATGACAATTACCAGATTTTATTCTGAAAGATGGGACTGGGGGTTCAACAAGAGCTAAGAAGAGAAGGTGGGGTGAACAAGGAGGCATGAGACTGTAATAGATTGGTTGCAGTCAGGGGCGGACTGGGACTAAAAAACAGCCCTGGACTTTCTCCCAAATAGGCCCACCAGATGGACATGTACAAACAGCCACTAGCAGGGTTCTCATAATAATATACTACATAAAATATTCACGCCAAGTAACATGTCAACCAGTGGTGATGATTGGGGCTGTATTTATTAAAGTAACCTGTCTTCAAATACAAAAGCACAGCAATATACCAACCTAATGACATCTAAAACATAATCAAGACTACAGAAACCTGAAATGACACAAAAAGGTCATGAAAC